GTATAACACTACCAAACTTTATACGTACCTTTTCTAACACAAAAAAAAAGAGAGGAGATTTTGTTCGCTCGTGGTGATATTGTTATGAACTTATGATGAATAAACTCATCCAAATGATATTTGCAAAACACTTAGCTGCAAAGATACTTGTAAATTCCTAACCTTTTGACCCACCCTTAATCCCAAAATTAATATGCACTACACGTAAGAATAATTTCTTGATTCTTCATGGACATCTAGGGTTTTTCCCTGGACCTCCATAATAAAAATAATTACCCCACACACGATTCGTACCACCTCTTATATCATAACAATTGGGATGATCAGCGAGAATCTTTATATTCGAAACGGGAATTAGAGTATTGTCCCAATCGACCACTTGGAGATTCCGAAAATAAGCTGCTTTACCAAAACCTTCTCCGGAGAAATGGCCACTGCCCATTTGGGTCGAAGTGTGTGAACCACCGGGTCGGGTGTTCACAATCTCGCCGCCGAATTGGACCATGCTTCCATGTTGCCTTAAATGCGTGAACAGAAACGCCGGCCAATACCCGACTAACGTGCCCGACCCGAATTGTAGCCACCAGTGACCGTGTTTCGGATCCTAAGTAGATGTCACGAACTTACATTATTATTATGATTAATACAACTCTAAAGTATTTAAAACTTTGTGGAGACACATCTTATAAAGTACAAGTTGAATGAGCTGGGTTGACACATGCAAGATTGATGTACAACCATGTGCTTTTAATTCTTTCTTAACTATTAGATTTGATTGGTAACGTTTCTTAATCACAGAAAATTGTATTTTTTTTGAGAAAATTGTAATTAGTAAAAAATTGCAAAAATGAAGAAAAATACCTTCCATATCAATAAGCTTATATCGAATTGTCCACCTCTATACGAAGATCTAGGAGATATCGCAGCTCCGATTGCGATTCGTCTGTTGGTTTGAACGAAACCGGAACACAACAAATTGTAGCAACCCGTTGATCGGTATGCATCGGACTGAAAATCACTATCACTACCATTGTTAACAAAGTGTTAATTCAATAAAACTATATAACTAAAGCATAATGTAAAGAGTATCACAAAAGTATAGTATAAAGTTGGAAGTAAATAATAATTTACCGTCCAATATGTGAAGAATCTTGGGTAAGTGTCTCCGTATAGCTCCGGGCTAATCTGTGCAGGCAAGTCAAATTGCATTTTTAAGGTTTGTTCGGTTAAATAAATAAATTCATATAAAAAAAACAAGTGACGTACTTGCCAACCGGCTTCAATGGTATTAAGATCATGTGTGAACGAACCGGCAATAACCCAAATTTGGGAAAGACTGAATTCGTATTGGCTAGTGACACGCGGCGACCACACGTTTATACTCGCTTTTGCTCCATAGTATTGTCTCCCGGTTACATATCCAACCGCATGCTAAAAAAAAAAATGATCAATCAAATAAACTCTCAAACAGTTTGGTTATTAAGAAAAAAAAGATACTAAAATTTCAGGCAAATATGAAATACAGAAAAAGAGATAGAAAAGGAACAAGAGAATAATTTTTTTTTTGTTTCCGATGTGAACAGAGAATAATCATAGTTATGTCACGCTTCTCTTCTTTTTATTTGTGCCAGAAAATAACTTGTCTTTTGAGTTTGGATACAAATTATACTACAATACAAGTGAGTGTTTATGGTCGTGCAAAGAATTACGAAAAAGCTGGTTTTTGGTATCATTCTATATCTTTTTCTTTATGGTAAACCTCTGACTTTTTGCCTAATTATAGTATAAAGAAAATGGTACTTACTTCGTGTCCGTTACTTGTGGAATCTCTCCTCACGCGCCTAATTTTCCGACCAAATCTCTGGACAGAACTTGCTCTTAGCATATCTTGTTCACTTGTTCTTCTAATCGGAATCGTACCTTCCGGACAAGACTCGCCTGATAAACTCCACAGTTGAGAATCTTCATACGATTCATCATCTTCGGTGTATCCTTTGGGGATTTCAGGCGGATCCTAAATTCAGAAAAATTGATATAAATACTTTAGATTTTATCGGAAAATTGAAGAAAATAGAGAAAAATATAAAAACTAAGATCAAGTGGCTTTTGGTCTAGTGACAACATTCTAAGATCCGCCAAAAATGGTTGTGTTGTCTTATAGCATCCTTCCGAGTTGAGTGAACTCGGAAGGGGTTTAAAAGAAGCTTGTATAAACCTGGGGAATACCATCTACACGT